TACTGTTACCTGAGGTTGATTAATTGGATACTACAGGTGTTACTTGAATTAAATAGTAATCTTAGGTCACCAGGAATGTGTTAGCTCAAGTTAATATTTTTAATTCATAGGTAAACATACTTGGTCACATGCCTCGTGATATTTTAGCATGGGCGGACGGACAGACAGACAGACAGACAGACAGACAGACAGACAGACAGACTTGATATAGAACTGAAATAAGCCTGAAATAGACCTTAAATGAACATTAAAAAACTGACATAGATTTGAAGGAGACTGGAACCCTGAAATAAACTCGAAATGGACCTAAAACGAACCTTTCACCAGGACCTGACATGGAGCTGCATGTATAAGGCACACGACCACTTCTTCTGACAAACCTCTTGAATTTTTACATCGACATCCGAGTGAGGGACAAAGTTACCCCACTCAACCCCTCCCCTCTCCTTACCCTTCCACCCCCTCCCCGACCCACACTTTCCGCCTGGACGTCCTTTACTAGCACGCAACTTTCCGCCTTTCCGCTTGAACGTTCTGCACCTGTACGCAACTTTCCACCTCTCCGCTTGGACGTTCAGTATCGGGAGTCACTTTTGCTTGCACGGCCTCTCCTTTCTGCGATGACATCTGGCGTCAAACTTTCGAAAAATGAATTTTAGTGTGACGGGCGCATCAGCCAGTGTAGACCTGAGCCGGTGAACACACACACACACACACACACACACACACGGTTAGCGCAGATCGTGACTGTAGACTCGGTTGGGATTGCATGGCTGTCGTTGTCTTCGTTGTTGTTGCTGTTGTTTTTGTTGCTGCGTCTGCCATTAACGGAGACCTGTAAATACTAGGTCCGTGGGTCCGTCTATTTATGTGTCTGTCTGTGTGTCTGTCTATCCACACGCTGAAGGGATCCCAGTGGCCGCCGTCAATCTTCTCATCCCCGGTGGTTGAAGGCTAGTCGTCTCCTATCTGGGATTTCCCCCGTGGTCCAGTCAACCTCTTCTGTGTGGGTAACGACTCTCTCTCTCTCTCTCTCTCTCTCTCTCTCTCTCTCTCTCTCTCCTCTCTCTCTCTCTCTCTCTCTCTCTCTCTCTCTTTCTTTCTTTCTCTCTTCCTCTCTTCCTTCCCTCACCTCCCCTTCCTTGCCTCACCTCTCCCTCACGTCTCCCCTCACCTCTTATCTCCCTTCCCTTTTTACGGTTATTTCTCTCTTTCTCTCTCTCTCTCTCCTCCTATTTCCCCTCACCTCCCCCCTCCCCTGTCCCTTTCTCCCCTCCCCTGTCACTTTCTCTCACCTCCCTCTCCCCTACCTCCCCTCTCATCCCCACACACACAACATGGCTGGGCTTTCATTACTCTTGGTGGATTTTGTCGACAGTGTCATCTTTCCAATTATGAGCTACCGATTTACCTGTGTCACAGCCCGCAGGTTCGACCCCCTACCTCCTTCCACTCATTTCCACCTCCTCCACCTACCTTCACCCACTATGCCTAGAGGTGACCACCGAACCCTGAAACACCATACTCCGGGGAACGTCTCTCTCTCTCGATAGATAGATAGATAGATAGATAGATAGATAGATAGATAGATAGATAGATAATAAGAAAAGTGAATATTCTCAGTGTTATCCTGCTACCTTCCGCTTCAAGCATCTTATGTGTGCACGCCAGACCAGCTCTTGTGTTGTACGTATTGATACAACTAACCCTGTGTACCCTTATAAACAGAACTTAAGTACTGTACGCATTGACATAAAGGAGCCCCTGTATACATACCTCTCTATAAGCATATATAGGCCAGGTACGCGCCTATGTATACCGTATGCAGCAACGGAGTATTCATACTGCGGAGTTAGACGTGTATACATAAGGTTGGGGTCTTATGGTGAAGCCGTCTCCCCCGTCCCTCCTGTCCCTCTCCATCCTTCCCCTGTCCCTTCCCCTCCCCCTTCCCCTCCCGTCCCTTCTCCTCCTTCCCCTCCCTCCTTCCTCCCCTCCTTCCTGCCCCTCCTTCCTGCCCCCTCCTTCCTGCCCCCCCTCCCTTCCCCCCTTGGACACTTGATGGCACAGAATAGAATCGCTTAGTCTTAGAATTCACGAGGCAGACGACGTTTATGGCAGACAACGTTTATGGCAGACAACGTTTGTGGCAGACAACGTTTATGGCAGACAACGTTTGGCAGGCAATTGTGGCAGACAACGTTTGTGGCAGCCAACGTTTGTGGCAAACAACGTTTGTGGCAGACAACGTTTGTGGCAGACAACGTTTGTGACAGACAACGTTTATGGCGGAACAACGTTTATGGCGAACAACGTTGTGACAGACAACGTTTGTGGCGAACAACGTTTGTGACAGACAACGCTTATGGCAGACAACGTTTGTGGCAGACACCGTTTGTAGCAAACAACGTTTGTGACAGACAACGTTTTGACAGACAAAGTTTATGTCTTTGGCAGACAACGTTTGTGGCAGACAACGTTTGTGGCAGACAACGTTTATGACAGACAACGTTGTGGCAGACAACGTTTGTGGCAGACAACGTTTGTGGCAGACGTTTGTGAACAACGTTTGTGGCAGACGTTTGTGGCGACAACGTGTATGGCAGACACGTTTGTGGCAGACAACGTTTATGGCAGACAACGTTTATGACAGACAACGTTTGTGGCAGACAACGTTTGTGGCGACAACGTTTGTGGCAGACAACGTTTGTGGTAGACAACGTTTGTGGTAGACAACGTTTATGACAAACAACGTTGTGGCGGACAACGTTTGTGGCAGACAACGTTTGTGGCGAACAACGTTTGTGTCAGACAACGTTTGTGGCAGACAACGTTTGTGGCAGACAACGTTTGTACGACGTTTAGCGACAACGTGTATGGCAGACAAAGTTTGTGGCAGACAACGTTTATGGCGAACGTTTATGACAGACAACGTTTGTGGCAGACAACGTTTGTGGCAGACAACGTTTGTGGCAGACAACGTTTGTGGCGGACAACGTTTGTGGCAGACAACGTTTGTGGCAGACAACGTTTGTGAACAACGTTTGTGGCAGACAACGTTTATGACAGACAACGTTTGTGACAGACAACGTTTGTGGCAGACAACGTTGTGGCAGACAACGTTTGTGGCAGACAACGTTTGTGGCAGACAACGTTTGTGGCAGACAACGTTCCACAAGGTAGACGGCCAAAAGAAAATTCATACTCTCTCTCTCTCTCTCTCTCTCTCTCTCTCTCTCTCTCTCACCTTATTTAAAAATTTCATCCAAGTTTCCCCACGAATTCGAATCACCTTTCTGACTGTAAGTGAGCTACATCGTTTTCCCGTGAGTATTAAGAGAGTTAATATATATATATATATATATATATATATATATATATATATATATATATATATATATATATATATATATATATTTTTATATATATATATATATATATATATATATATATATATATATATATATATATATATATTTCATTAGCCCAATAGCACGTGGACTTACATACAATCAACACCTCAACCCGCCAGGATTCGGACACAGCCCACGAGCCCATGACTGTGACCGGGGAACGCTAATGAAATATATATGGATCCTCGTGTTTCGAAGCCGGATTTGGTAAAACGTTACTCTGACCACCTACGTGATGGGTAGTCCCATTAGAGGTTCACGGCGCCATAAGCTCGTTGAACAGGCTTTGTGTGAAATATAACAGAGTCTAGGACTGTTTTAGTATCCTGGTGGTCCAGCGGTTAGCGTTCCCCAGTCACAGTCATAGGCTTGTGGGCCGTGGGTTCGAATCCTGGCAGGGGTGAGGTGTTGATTATATATATATATATATATATATATATATATATATATATATATCTCAGGCCTCACTATTGACCCACATCTCAGGGTTTGTTTAAGTGATCAAGTCTTGAGCTTTAAGTTTTTCCCCAAGTGCGTTTAACTGGCGGGATATTTTTTTCCTTTTGTTCCCTATTGGTTTCTTATAGCTGTTTGTAGTTGTGTTGAGTGTTTATATATGTGTGTGTGTGTGTGTGTGTGTGTGTGTGTGTGTGTGTGTGTGTGTGTGTTTTTGCAGTTAGTTTTAGTTAATGTGTAAAAGCAAGTGAGTGTTTTTATATTTGTTGTTGTTTTTGTTGTTATTATATTTCAACGGTTATGGTTCTGTAATTGTGTTTGGCTGGTGATTTATGTGGAGAAAATTATAATAAAATAAATTATTATTCGGGTTAGAGATGGAGGGAGGAGGGAGGGAGAGAGGGAGGAGGAGAAGAGAGGGAAGAAGTGGGGAAGAAGCGAGGGAAGGAGAGGGAGAAGAAAGGAGAGAAAGAAGGAGTTAAGGAGAGAGAAAGGGGAGTTAAGGAGAGAAAGGGGGGGGGGGGAGAGGGAGAAGGAGGTTAAGGAGAGAGAAAGGAGGAGTTAAGGAGAGAAAGGAGGAGTTAAGGAAGAGAAAGGAGGAGTTAGGAGAGAAAGGAGGAGTTAGGAGAGAGAAAGGTGGAGTTAAGGAGAGAGAAAGGAGGAGTTAAGGAGAGAGAAAGGAGGAGTTAAGGAGAGAGAAAGGAGGAGTTAGGAGAGAGAAAGGAGGTGGGGGGTGAGAGGGAGGGAGGAGGTAGTGGGCAGAGCCAATGAGGTGATATAGAAGACTAAATCAGTAGACCTCAACCTCCTCTGGCTTGTGAGAGTCATTGTGAAACCCCTCTGACTCGTGCCTTCTGAAGAGGTGACGAGGCTGACGGCAATATTTAGCTGTTAAAAGAGTTATTTTGGGGACTGGAGGCTGACGTGTGTGTGTGTGTGTGTGTGTGTGTGTGTGTGTGTGTGTGTGTAAAAGAGATGCACTATTAATGTCTCAGTACACACACAGACTAATAGGAAAATACCAACCACCTTCCCCCATCACCTCCCCTCCCCCCCTCCTCCTACCCTCCCCTGAGCCAGAGAGAAAAATATCATACATTGGTTCCCGTAGAGACATGACTCATAAAGAACATGGCCCACAAGGGTGAGTTACAACCAGACGATTCATCATTCTGGATATTTTTCTCTCTCTCTCTCTCTCTCTCTCTCTCTCTCTTCTAAATTGTGGCAGCGGAGAGTTCTGAGATGAAAGTGAAATATATTTTTTTTTTCGGGGAGTGGGGAGGGGAGTGAGAGGAGGTGGAGGTAAAAATCCTAAGAAATTATTTCCTTTCATTCTAATGGACGGAAGAAAAGTCATTTTTATTTATATTTTTCATTATTATTATTATTATTTTAATTTTGGTTTTAGTCACATGAGGCATTAAATGTTTCACTGGGGAGGGAGGAGGAGGGAGGGAGGGAGTGGGGTACATAAACAAGATATAGAGTGGTTTAAGGCGAGTAAATGCGATTAAGACCTTATAATATCTCCACTCTTAGTCCATTTTGTTTAGGTTCAACCCCACACCTCCCCACCCTCCGACAGCCTAACTCCTTGAACATTCCTCCCCCACCCAGGACAACCCCGAACAGCCCTACCCCGGACAGCCCCGGACAGCCCCGGACAGCCCCTACCCCGGACAGCTACCCCCGGACAGCCCCTACCCCGGACAGCCCTACCCGGGCAGCCTACTTCCCCGGACACCCCCGACCCCTAGGACAGCCCCTACCCCGGACACCCCCTACCCCGGACAGCCCCTACCCCGGACAGCCCCTACAGCCCCTACCCGGACAGCCCTACGGACAGCCCCTACGGACAGCCCCTACGGACAGCCCCTACCCGGACAGCCTACCCCGGACAGCCCCTACGGACAGCCTACCCCGGACAGCCTACCCGGACAGCCCCTACCCCGGACCTTCCCGGACAGCCCCACCCGGACAGCCCCTACCCGAACAGCCCCTACCCGAACAGCCCCTACCCCGAACAGCCTCTACCCCGAACAGCCCCTACCCGACAGCCCTACCCGAACAGCCCCTACCCCGAACAGCCCTACCCCGGACAGCCCCTACCCCGGACAGCCCCTACGGACAGCCCCTACCCCGGACAGACCCACCCCGGACAGACCCACGGACAGACCACCCGGACAGACCCACCCCGGACAGCTGCTCCGCCAGACAGCCCCCACCATAACAAATATCCCTCCAGGGCAAATTCATGGTAATGGAAGAAGTTTGCCTCATGGGAGCGTTACCATAATAATCTCGGGCTAGTTTTTGGGTAGCGAGGTTAGAAGTTAGGTGGAAATTGCCATTTTATGAGGAATTGTGTAATTAGTACGGGTGTGGGACAGCTGGGTGGTAGGTGGGTGTGTAGGTGGAGTGATGGGTGGGTTGGTGGGCGAATGGATGAGTGGATGGGTAGGTGGTGGAGTGGGCTGTGGGTGGAAGAGTGGGATAACTGGATGGTGGATTGAGGGTGGGTGGATGGATAGTGAACCAGTATTGGGTGTTGACCGTGTTGGAGAGAGAGAGAGAGGTGTAGACTGTGATGGCGGTGGATGCTGCGGTGGCAGTGGCTGCGGTGGCGGTGGAGGCTGCGGTGGCGGTGGAGGCTGCGGTGGAGGCAGTGGTGGCGGCGGTGGAGGCTGTAGTGGTGGCAGCGGGTGGAGGCTGTAGTGGTGGCGGCGGTGGAGGCTGTAGTGGTGGCGGCGGTGGGAGGCTGTAGTGGTGGCGGCGGTGGAGGTTGTAGTGGTGGCGGCGGTGGAGGCTGTAGTGGTGGCGGTGGAGGTTGTAGTGGTGGCGGCGGTGGGCTGTAGTGGTGGCGGCGGTGGAGGCTGTAGTGGTGGCGGCGGTGGAGGCTGTAGTGGTGGCGGCGGTGGGGCTGTAGTGGTGGTGGCGGCGGTGGAGGCTGTAGTGGTGGCGGCGGTGGAGGCTGTGGTGGTGGCGGCGGTGGAGGCTGTAGTGGTGGCGGCGGTGGAGGCTGTAGTGGTGGCGGCGGTGGAGGTTGTAGTGGTGGCGGCGGTGGGAGGCTGTAGTGGTGGCGGCGGTGGAGGCTGTAGTGGTGGCGGCGGTGGAGGCTGTAGTGGTGGCGGCGGTGGAGGCTGTAGTGGTGGCGGCGGTGGAGGCTGTAGTGGTGGCGGCGGTGGAGGCTGTAGTGGTGGCGGCGGTGGAGGCTGTAGTGGTGGCGGCGGTGGAGGCTGTAGTGGTGGCGGCGGTGGAGGCTGTGGTGGCGGCGGTGGAGGCTGTAGTGGTGGCGGCGGTGGAGGCTGTGGTGGTGGCGGCGGTGGAGGCTGTAGTGGTGGCGGCGGTGGAGGCTGTAGTGGTGGCGGCGGTGGAGGCTGTAGTGGTGGCGGCGGTGGAGGCTGTAGTGGTGGCGGCGGTGGAGGCTGTAGTGGTGGCAGCGGTGGAGGTGTAGTGGTGGCGGCGGTGGAACTGTAGTGGTGGCAGCGGTGGAGACTGTAGTGGTGGCAGCGGTGGAGACTGTAGTGGTGGCGGCGGTGGAGGCTGTAGTGGTGGCGGCGGTGGAGGCTGTAGTGGTGGCGGCGGTGGAGACTGTAGTGTGGTGGCGGCGGTGGAGGCTGTAGTGGTGGCGGCGGTGGAGGCTGTAGTGGTGGCGGCAGTGGAGGCTGTAGTGGTGGCGGTGGAGGCTGTAGTGTGGCGGCGGTGGGCTGTAGTGGTGGCGGCGGTGGAGGCTGGCCACAGGCGCCCTGGAACAAGCTAACACGAGTTATATCGGCAATTTAATCTCAGCATACGACCATCGTCCCCAGTAGTGTTGTTATGTTAATGAGGGCGTGTAATAGGTCTTTACCGTGAAGGATGGTCGTCCTTCCTTCCTTCTCTTTCCTTCTTTAGTCCTTCTATTCTGCCCCCTTCCTTCCTTCCTTCCTTCTTCCCTTCCCCAGTAGTAGTGTCTGTCCCCTCTCTCCCCACTTTCCTTCCCCCCCATCTTTTTCACTCCTTTTACCTCACCTCACTCCCTCCTTCCTCCTCCTTCCCTACCCCCTTAGCCCCTTTAACCCACTTTAAACCCCCCATCGTTACAAAGCTCTAAACACACCTGGATGGTACCTCCCTCTATTACTGCTGCCTTTGTTAATTAGTTGTTGAATTAATTTACTAATATAATCAGAGAAGTAGATTATACCAAATATACTGTAGAGGCACGAAGGAATATTTTAATGGGGGGGGGGGCAGATTATTTTATGAAGGGAAATTTTAAGGAACTCAGATTTTCAGGACAGAAGGACAAGAAAAGTTATATATGGTTTTCATAATGAGGGTCAGGAAAGGTTAGGTTAGGTTAGGTTAGGTTAGGTCAGGTCAGGTCAGGTCAGGTGAGAGTAAATCTTAACTTATGGCATATGTCCTTTATCCTCCTCTCCTTAATCATCACCTTTATCCACTCCTCCTTAATCATCACCTTTATCCACCGCTCCTCTTCTCTTTAATCATCACCTTTATCCACCTCTCCTCTCCTCCTTAATCATCACCTTTATCCACCTCTCCTCTTCTCCTTAATCATCACCTTTATCCACCTCTCCTCTTCTCCTTAATCATCACCTTTATCCACCTCTCCTCTCCTCCTAATCATCTTTATCCATTTCTCCTCCTTAATCATCACCTTTATCCACCTCTCCTCTTCTCCTTAATGATCACCTTTATCCACCTCTCCTCTTCTCCTTAATCATCACCTTTATCCACCTCCCCTCTCCTCCTTAATCATCACCTTTATCCACCTCTCCTCTTCTCCTTAATCATCACCTTTATCCACCTCTCCTCTTCTCCTTAATCATCACCTTTATCCACCTCTCCTCTTCTCCTTAATCATCACCTTTGTCTCATTCATCACTAACATCTCCTTAAGTTATTGCTTTTATCTCTTGTCTCCAGAATTATTACCGTTATGTCTCTCACTTATCACAACAGAATGAGAACAATAAAGAAAAAACGGAATAAACGGTGCAAGAGGGGAAGGTGGATAATGTTTCTTGAGCTCTCTTGTGTAAGTAATGTGTGAGAGACAACGATAATAACTCAGGAGGAGGAAGAAGAAGACACAAGGAGAATAAATACGGAGATGAGGAATACCAATAGAAGACATGTTTAGAATAAGCAGCATAAATTAGTTGTTTTATAAGTGACAAGCGGGAGGGAGAACGGCGATAACTCAGGAGGAGGAGGAGGAGAGAGAGAGAGAGAGAGAGAGAGAGAGAGAGAGAGAGAGAGAGAGAGAGAGAGAGAGAGAGGATGGTTTGTTGTGGTAGTGTTCCTCAGGGGACGGACAAGAAGAGCCCAGGTCAGGGGTCATAACCCAGCCTAAGACAGAATCACCCACCCACCGGCCCCACCCCACCCCACCCCGTCCCGCCGCGCAATGCCACACGACCGTCGTAAACCAGGTCATATCAAAGCCAAAAACACATTAGAGACATCAAATTCTCATCATAAAGGCCATTCCTCGCCGACCCCACCAAATATAATGACTGAACCACCGTACACACACACACAGACAGACAGACAGACAGACAGACAGACAGACAGACAGACACACACAGACACATACAGACATCCCTCGCTTACTTCAAAAAAAAGAAGCGTAATTCGATATGGAGTTTAGGAGTCCTTGGAGAGTCACTTGGGAGAGTTTCATCGTTCAGTAGATTCAGTACAGTCATCTGGAAGCATAAGTTTAGATTTTGTGAGTGATTCGATACTCTGAAGTAGAGTCGCTTAGTAGTTTAGTAAAGAGAGGATATTGTTATTTACTCTTGATAGTTGGAAGGAGTGGGTGTGTGTGTGTGGGTGCTGGGTGTAGAGGGTGGAGTGAGGGATAAATAGGGGGAGGGTGGAGTGGGGGATAAATAGGAGTAGAGGGATGGAGTGGGGGATAAATAGGGAGTAGAGGGATGGAGTGGGGGATAAATAGGGAGTAGGGGATGGAGTGGGGGATAAATAGGGAGTAGAGGGATGGAGTGGGGGATAAATAGGGAGTAGAGGGATGGAGTGGGGGATAAATAGGGAGTAGAGGATGGAGTGGGATAATAGGGGTGGGATGGAGTGGGGATAAATAGGATTAGAGGATGGGTGGGGATAAATAGGGAGTAGAGGGATGGAGTGGGGGATAAATAGGGAGTAGAGGGATGGGTGGGGATATACAAAGATGTGGCAATACAGAGAGGGTGTGAACATACAGGGATGATTGGTCGTAGTTATACAGGTAATGCGGATACGACTATACAGGGAGATGGTAATGAGTTTACAGGTAAGGTAGGTAACAGGTGTGTGTGTATTGAGAGAGAACTTAATCGTAGGCATACAGGTAGTGATATAGGAATACAGGTAGGCATACAAGTAGGACTATAGGCATACAAGTAGGACTATAGGCATACAGGTAGAAAGGAATGGGAAGAAGAGGGAACAGATGAAGAGGAGGGGGGAGACATGAAAGAAAACGGAAGAGTTAGTAGGGGGCACTAAAGAATTACTGCTCTATCCACGGTTTTATGGTACCACTCCGACGTGACATTCGCTGCAATCACGACAACTCACTATATATTCAGACAGACAGAGGGACAGACAGACAGGCAGACAGACAGGAAGAGCAAGAGTGTGTGTATATGAGGATGGATGCGTATGGGTGAGTAAATATGAGTTTGTGAGTGAGTGAGAAGCTGTGAGAGAGAGAGAGAGAGAGAGAGAGAGTAGGTAAGGTAAGTACAGGGTGAGAGAGTGAGGAGATTAGAGAGTGAGTGATAGAGAAGAAATAAGAGAACAATGAGAAGGAAGTGTAGAGAGAGAGAGAGAGAGAGAGAGACCCCATTCGCTGCTACTTGCTCTTTTCCCTCCATCTCCTCATATTCCCCTCTACCTCCACCTAACCCCTTTCTACCCCCCCATCAAACCTCTTACTTCTCCCCTCTTACCTTCCCTTTCTCTCCCTTCCCTTTCTCCCTCCATTCCCTGCTCCCACATGCAATAGGTCTGTCGGAACGAATTTAACCCAAAATTTGTTCATCACTCTTTGCTCTGACGCCCAGCACCTGACACACACACACACACACACACACACACACACACACACACACACACACACACACACACACACACACACACACACACAATACACACACAGAACCATCAAAGAGACTTAAAGAGAGAAGCTAATTTCCTGGGCGTAACATAACCTAC